TCCTGCCTCCAGGGGGCTCTACTGGTGGGTTAAACAAGAGGGTCAACTGCCTGGGCTCATTTCCCAGCTCTGCCACTTATTAGTTATAGGGCTATGGACAAACTGTCAGCCCAGCTGAGTCTCAGCTTCCTTGTTTGTGTAAGGAGGTGATGATGATGGCTATAACAGTACGCACCTCACGAGGTTATTAAGGCAAAATAAATTAGCTGATGGACAGCAAGCCCCGGGCATAAATGTCAGCTTGCATGCCAGTCCCTAGTTGTGTTAGAAGCTCACGAGGCGCATGCTCGGGCTCACTGTTGCCACAGTGTGAATCCTAGGAGGAAACAGTGCATGCTCCTGGCTGCAGGAGGTGGAAGGGAAGAATCCACAACTTCAGAATAAAATCCACAAGACCGGCTTTGATACTTAAGGTCCCGTCCAAGCTGCTACTACTCCATTTCCACATCCATTCTCTGGCTCAATAATTTGTTTAAAAAAAAAATGGGGCCTGGGCTGTGGCATAGCAGGTAAAGCCTCAGCCTGCAGTGCCGGCATCCCATATAGGTACCAGTTCAAGTCCCAGCTACTCCACTTCTAATCCAGCTCTCTGCTGTGGCCTGGGAAAGCAGTGAAAGATGGCCCAAGTCCTTGGGTTCCTGCACCCACATGGGAGACTCGGAGGAAGCTCCTGGCTCCTGGCTTGGGATCGGCTCAGCTCCAGCCATTGCGGCCAATTGGGGAGTGAACCATCGGATGGAAGACCTCGCTCTCTCTCTGCCCGTCCTTCTCTCTGTGTAACTCTGACTTGAAAATAAATAAAGAAATCTTTAAAATAAAGGGGGGAGTGGCTAGCACCGAATCGCCCCCACCAGGCACCTGCCCCTCTGCAGATTCTGCCTGGCCTTCGACGCAGAGCGCAAGTCCCACAGCTCCCACAGAGCCCTGCCAGGCTGCTCCAACCCACAGCTTCCCCTCCTGGCCCCTCCCGGCTCTCTGGGGTTCTACTTGGCCTTTGCCTTGCCTTGGTTATGTTGTGATATGGCGATATATTATAAGCCAAACTAAAGTACAGCCAGCTCGAGAGAGGAGATGAAACTGAGATTTCTTTGTATGGTTCTGAGTGATCGGTGCCACGCTTTTCATTTAGCAAAGGCTCAGTGAGTGATGTATTCAATGCTTCAAGAGGCTCAAAGCAAACCCATTCTTTCAAAAACAAGCGCCTTTCAGATTAATACTGCCTTATAGTATAGAGGTTCAAACTCTCCATCTCCACCTAGACTAAGTGAGTTTATGATTAATTCTGCCACCTGTTAGCTGTGTGACCTTGAGGAAGTTACTTAACCTCTCTGTACTGCCATGTCCTCATCTATAAACCAGGGGTAGTCAAAGTACGATACTTGCTGGGGTGGTTATGAGGATGAAATGAGCTAACGCAGGTGAAGCACTCGGAATGTGGTCCGGCACAGTTATTACTAAGCACTCACTATGCTGTCATCTTCTGAGGTACAACTCATTCTGACACCCAAAAAGCATTTTGTAAAGTTTGCTGAGGCCATCCAGAAAGCTGCTGGATACCAGTGCCTACTTCATTCAAAAACCCACCTTCTTCACTCAAAAGCCTCTGCACCAACAAGCCACCCCTACCTCTGTGCTACGTGCCAGGGGCCTCGTGTTATAAAGTCAGTAATTGTATTGCTCCTTCCAGCTCACAAAGCTTCGAGTGCGAGCACAGCAGAAATAAAGCACTTCCCCAATGGCTGGGCAGAGTAAGCAAGGGGTTAAGCAAAACTGTTCACTCTCCACTACATCAGTGCTGAGACAGCCATCCCACCATCCGCTTGCCCATGGAGGCCCTTCCTCGGTCTAACCCAGGCACCAGTGATAAGTACCCACCTGGGACAACTCCACATCTCATCACCATGACAGCAAACGTTCTCTTTCCTAGCAGGCATCCATCATATTCATATTCTCCCTCTCCACCCCCTCCACTCCACTACTTTTTAAAAAGACTTTAATTAAGCTCCATTTTAAGGCACAGTTAAAGGCAAAATAACTCTTCAATAATGAGACAAAATGAAACTGCTGACAGACAGTGACAGAGAGAGTGGGCAGTTCAGATTCACACACTGATATTCAAAACAAAAACTGAGCGTGGGCGTGTGGCATAGCAGTTAAGTTGTTGCCTGGGACACCGCATCCATATCCAAGTGCCTGGTTCGAGTCCCAGCTCCTCCACTTCTAACCCAGCTTCCTGCTCACATGCACCCTGGAAAGCAGCAGATGATGGCTCAGGTACGAGGGTCCCTTTCACCCCTATGGGACATTCAGATGGCACTCCAGGCTCCTGGCTTCAGCCCAGCTCAGTCCTAATGGCTGCGGGTATTTGGGGAATGAAGCAGCAAATGCAAGATATCTGTGTGTGTGTGTGTGTGTGTGTGCGCGCGCGCACGCACGTGCGTATCTGTCTCAGTCTCTATCTTTCAAATAAAATGAAAATAGAATTTAAAGAAAAAAACAAAAATCTGGCAACTTTCTTTCAAGACATCGGTAACAAAAAGGACATCATCCCTTCCAACCTCACAAGCCGTTTCAGCCAGGTGGCTTCCGCTCGGCCCGTGCCTGTGACACCCGATTTGAGTCTACTGGTCTTTCATGTGGTACGGCTTCTTCAGTATGACACAAGGTTAGGACGCAGATGTAAACTCTGGCTTCCCCACTCCCCAGCCCCATGACACTGCAAATTACCTCATCTCTCCCTATCTCATTCCTTCATCTATAAAACAGCAAAAATAATTGCACCTAACTCAGAGCTGTGCTTAAGAGAGCTCGTAAAATAAGACCATCCTGATTCAGTTTTATATTTATAATTGTTCAGCCCAGTGCCTGGTTGTGGTGCAATCTCAAGACATGGCAATTATTACCACTCTCCTCTGTATGTGCAATTCAATAGCCAAAACCAAGAGGCTAATCATTTCTCAAGTTAATGCTTTGCTTGTTGAAACCTGCCAGTTTCCAGAATTGGCCCAACAAATCAGTTTTATATAGCTCATTATAGAATAGACACAAAGCAAATTATAACGAAATAGAGCAAATTGGGCTTCCAAATTTCTTAAGCAACCTTGACAGAGAACACGAAGATGCTGGTGTGGGGGACTGGATACTCTGACTTAAGCAACACCATTCCAACCACGTTCTAGGCTTCTCATGGCCAGCTGCGCTCTGATGGCCTACAGGAAGCAGGGTGCATTTCTCTACTTTTTAAAAAATTACATATTGGGGCCAGCGCTGTGGCACAGCGGGTTAACGCCCTGGCCTGACGCGCCAACATCCCATATGGGCGCCAGTTCTAGTCCCAGCTGCTCCTCTTCCAATCCAGCTCTCTGCTATGGCCTGGGAAAGCAGTAGAAGAAAACCCAAGTCCTTGGGGCCCCTGCATCCACGTGGGAGACCCAGAAGAAGCTCTTGGCTCCTGGCTTCGGATCGGTGCAGCTCTGGCCATTGAGGCCAATTGGGGAGTGAACAATCAGATGGATTATCTCTCTCTCTCTGTCTTTCCTCTCTCTGTGTAATTATTTCAAAAAAAGAAATAAAATCTTTTTCAAAAATTACATATTAGCCGGCGCCGCAGCTCATTAGGCTAATCCTCCACCTAGCGGCGCCAGCACCCCGGGTTCTAGTCCCGGTCGGGGCGCCGGATTCTGTCCCAGTTGCCCCTCTTCCAGGCCAGCTCTCTGCTATGGCCCAGGAGTGCAGTGGAGGATGACCCAAGTGCTTGGGCCCTGCACCCCATGGGAGACCAGGAGAAGCACCTGGCTCCTGCCTTCAGATCAGCGCGATGTGCCGGCCGCAGCGCACTGGCCGCGGCGGCCATTGGAGGGTGAACCAACGGCAAAAGGAAGACCTTTCTCTCTGTCTCTCTCTCTCTCTCACTGTCCACTGCCTGTAAAAAAAAAAAAAAATTACATATTAAAGTATGTAAAGTAGACATAATTAGGGGCCAGCAGCCCACATTCCATCTGAGAGTAACTGAGGTAAAGCTGCTGCCATGCTCCCAATTCCAGCTTCTCTCATGCACACGCTGGGGGGCAGCAGTGATGGCTCAAGCAGCTGGGTCCCTGTCACTCATGTGGGTGACCCAGATGGAGTTCTGGGCTTGTGGCTTTGGCCTGGCCCAGCCCCAGCTGTTGTAGGCATTTAGAGAATGAACCAGCAGATGAGAGTTCACTCCCTTTCTCCTTTATCTTGCAAATAAAATAAATAAATAACTTTTTAACTAAAAAAAAAAATGCACCCAAGCAAGGAGTATCACCTCTGCCTAGACCTATTTATTTTGTAATAAAGTATAAAATCAGAGGCCGGCACTGTGGCATGGTAGGCTAAGCCTCTGCCTGCAGTCCCAGCATCCCATATGGGTGCCGGTTCGAGTCCTGGCTGTTCCATTTCTGAGCCAGCTCTCTGCTGTGGCCTGGGAAAGCAGTAGAACGGCACCTGTGTGGGAGGCCCAGAAGAAGCTCCTGGCTCCTGGCATTGGATCAGTTCAGCTCCAGCCGATGCAACCATCTGGGGAGTGAACCAGCAGATGAAAGACCTCTCTCCCTGTCTCTCCCTCTCTCTCTCTGTGACCTCTCAAATAAATAAATAAAATCTTTTTTAAAAAAAGTATAAAATGGCTTTCTTGAAACCCTTATTTAGGAACAAAAATGTAAGTATATTCTACTCAAAAACAAAACGAACTGGAATTAATTAGTAGCATATTTTTTTCTGCCAGTCTCAACATAGACAAGTAGTTAGATATATGTGTCACTGCCATTGGAATATTACACACCAGCCTGGTAAATGTAACACAGGCAAACATACCATGTATCTGTGGAGTAGTCAAATATTCTATTTCCCTAAGGAACACAACTCAAGTTTTACATTAACTCCACATGGACTTAATTCTTCCAAAGTAAAGACAGGACGGAAGGATACACCCAGAAAGAATACAATGAGTGTGCAATTGACGATACGCAGCTTACCTGCCGTGGCTACACAGGAGCTCATGAGGGCAAACACAGCGACCACGTAGCGGGAAGTCATCTTTGCTCCTCCAGCAGCGCCGCTCACACGGCCACCTTGCCTAACCACAGTCTTCACGAATCCGCAATGGCCTCGCAGTCCTTCGTCGCGGTTTCCAAGCTGCCTATAAAAGTAAACAAATTTCAGTCCAAACACTGAATGCAGAAACTTCCTTTCATAAACAAGTGCACATTAAAGGTAAATGAAGGATCTCTGAAACGGGTAAGAAATTTATCATATGGTCTGGCATTGTGGTGTAGTCACTTAAGCCCCACCTGTGACACTGGCAACCCCTATCTGAGCCCTGGTTTGAGTCCTGGTCTCCACTTCTGATCCAGCTCCCTGCTAAGGAGCCTGGGGAAGCAACAGAGGATGGCCCAAGTGCTGGACCCCAGCCATCCGTGTGGGAGGCCCAGATGGTATTCCAGGCTCCCTAGCTTCAGCCTGGCCCAGCGCTGGCTGCTGTAGTCATTTGAGGAGTGAACAAGCAGATGGAAGATCTTTCTCTTCTCTCTGCATTTCAAATAAATAAATAAATCTTCAAAAAATAAAAACAGAGAGAAATGTATCATAGATGCCGAACAGCAGTAGGAGTGGTAATTACCTACAAAAGGTTTTTATGGTAAATACTTTCACAAATCACATGCTTACTTTTGACACTTTAAACCCTTCAGTTCTATATGGGAGAGTAAGGAATACAGAAGAAACTCAGGGCATATTGTAGCAGAACATCGGCCGTTCAGCCGTGGTCCTAGAGTCAACAGTGACACTTGATACACATGGTCCCTCCTGCCAGCAAGGAGGCACAAATAGCTCTGATTAGAGACTCACTCTAATGTTATAATGACAGGGTTATCACAAGGATCAAATTAAATTACATCAAGACCCTATCTGAAAAAATACAGAACCACAAAAAGGCAAAGTTCTTATTTCTCTGTTTGCTGACATTTTAAAAAGAAAAAAGGGGCCGGCGTTGTGACATAGGGGGTTAAGCTGCCTCCTGCAACACCAGCATCCCATAGGAACACCAGTTCGAATCCCAGCTGCTCCACTTCTGATCCAGCTCCCAGTGAATTGACCTGGGAAAGCAGCAAAACATGACCGAGTTACTTGGGCCCCTGACACTGGTGTGGGAGACCTGGATGGAGTTCCATGCTTCTGTCTTCAGCCTGGCCCAGCCCTAGCCCTGGCCATTGTGGCTATTTGGGGAGTGAACCAGCAGGTAGACAATCTCTTTCTTTCCCTTTCTCTCTGCAATTCTGCCCTTCAAATAAATGAACAAACAAATAAATCTTTAAAAAGAATAAAAGAGGAAAAAGCCTTTCCTCTGTCTCACTCGGACTCTGGTAACTCTACAGGATCGAGGCCTCTACCCAGCTCCTATCCAGTCTTTTTTTCTTTTTTTAAGATTTATCTTTATTTATTTGAAAGAGTTACAGAGAGAGGTAGAGACAGAGAGAGGTCTTCCATCCAATGGTTCACTCCCCAAATGGCCACAACAGCCAGAGAGAGCCAGGAGCTTCTTCTGGGTCTCCCACATGGGTGCAGGGGCCAAAGGACTTGGGCCATCTTCTACTGCTTTCCCAGGCCATAGCAGAGAGCTGGATTGGAAGAGGAGCAGCCGGGACTAGAACCGGTGCCCATATGGGATGCCAGCGCTTCAGGCCAGGGAGTTAACCTGCTGTGCCACAGCGCCGGCCCTTTCAGTCTTGAATGAGAGTTTGGAGGTGGTTTGCTTAACTTGAAAATTTCTGGGGTTGGAGCTGTGGAATAGTGGGTAAAGCTGCTGCCTGCAGTGCCGGCATCCCAAATGGGCACCGGTTTGAGTCCCGGCTGCTCTACTCCCAATTCAGCTCTCTGCTATGGTCTGGGAAAGCAGTAGAAAATGGCCCAACTCCTTGGGCCCCTGCACCCACATGGAAGACTCAGAAGAAGCTCCTGGCTCCTGGCTCCGGATCAATGCAGCTCAGGCCGTTGCAGCCAACTGGGGAGTGAATCAGCGATGGAAGACCTCTCTCTCTGCCTCTCCTTCCTTGTGGTATAAATAAATCAATAAATGAATGAATCCTTATTTATGTTTTTTGTTTTGACAGGCAGAGTGGACAGTGAGAGAGAGAGACAGAGAGAGAAAGGTCTTCCTTTTGCCGTTGGTTCACCCTCCAATGGCCGCCGCTGCAGCCGGCGCACCGCGCTGATCCTGGCAGGAGCCAGGAGCCAGGTGCTTTTCCTGGTCTCCCATGGGGTGCAGGGCCCAAGCACCTGGGCCATCCTCCACTGCACTCCCTGGCCATAGCAGAGAGCTGGCCTGGAAGAGGGGCAACCGGGACAGAATCCGGCGCCCCAACCGGGACTAGAACCCGGTGTGCCGGCGCCGCAAGGTGGAGGATTAGCCTATTGAGCCACGGCGCCGGCTCAATAAATGAATCTTAAGAAAGAAAGAAAGAAAGAAAGAAAGGAAGGAAGGAAGGAAGGAAGGAAGGAAGGAAGGAAGGAAGGAAGGAAGGAAGGAAGGAAGGAAGGAAGGAAGGAAGGAAGGAAGAAAATTTCTCCCTGGCCCTAACAGTTCAATTGTTTAGACACTCTGAGCCTGGCACAGCTCACAGGTGTCTGATTCAGCAAGCGTTTAATGCACACCTAGCTCGTTCCAGCAATGGTTCCCCCTCATTTGCAATAAAACTCATCCAACAACTGGATAAAAGTGCAAAGACCCTGCATGCTCTAAGCCTGGGAGGAAGCAGGCGGTAAGCTTTCAGCACCCATCTCAAATGGCAGGTTGCAGCCTGGTCACCTTCACCCAGAAACTACCACACACAAGGGCTTCTTGCTAACCTCAGAGACAAAGCCAGCCGGGGCACTTGTAGGAGACAGCATAAAAACAGCATAACAACAATAGTAAAATGAGTTTCTAACTAAATGTCCTTAGCTCACTCCTCGCAGTGATCCAAGCTCTTCACAGTTTCAACACTAACTGCCCAGGAGGAGGGAAGGAAGGTGACTGAGGGACAGGGGTGGGAGGGAGCAGGAGCTCACCGCATTCCCTTCGGGTTTTGTACATGTACAGATATTACTTGTCTAGAAATACTAACAATAAAGTCCTAATTTCAAACAGAATTTCTTAGGGGTAACACTTAACCTAGAGGTTAAGATGCCCATGACCCACACCAGAGTACCTAGGTTCAATTCCCAGTTCCAGTTCCTGTTTCCAGCTTCCTGCTAATGTAGACTCTGGGAGGCAGCAGTGATGGCTCAGATAATTGGATTCCTGTCCAGTTAGACAGCCTGGACTGAGTTCCCAGCTCCCTACTCTAGCCTCAGCCCAGGGCTGCTGAAGGCATTTGGGGAGTGGGCCTGTAGATGAGAACTCATTCTCTATCACTCTTGCTCTCTCTCCTCTTTTACTCTTTCACTCTCTCTCAAATCATTTTAACAAAATAATTTCTGAAATGTTTTAAAATTATTACACACATAAGAGGCACTGTGGTTCAATCCTGGCATATGGCATTGATTAAGAGCTTAGTTAGAGTAGAACATGGACAATGATGGAAGTTAGCACTCTGTCCAGGTCCTCCTACCACCCATCAAATGGGAGCTGGGATTATGCAGATTACACTTCATGAATGAACCTATACTATGGTAGGATAGGCTGTTCTGAGGATTTATTTTATTTATACACACACACACACACAATTACAACAGTGCCTAGCACACAAGAAGCCATTTTCTTCTTGCCCATCTCTGAGATATTTACACTGATAAATCAGTACAGGACTAGTGTGACGGCACAGCAGGTCAAGCCACTGCTCGTGATGCCAGCACCTCATACCTAAATGCCAGTTCAAGTCCTGATCCAGCTTCCTACTAATGTGCCTGGGAAGGAAGGAGAAGGCATCCCAAGTACTTGGACCCCCGCTATCTATGTAGGACACCTGGATGGAGTTCCAGGCTCCTGGCTTTGGCCTGGCCCAAACCTGGCTTTTATGACCACTGGGGGAGTAAACCAGCAGGTGGAAAACACCCCTCTCTCTCTCCCTCTCCCCAACCCCCATCTCTGTTTCTCCCTCTCTGTAGCTCTGCCTTTTAAATAAGTCTGTTTTTAAAATATTAGAATGTAGGCGCCGCGGCTCACTAGGCTAATTCTCCTCCTGCGGCGCCGGCACACCGGGTTCTAGTCCCGGTTGGGGCGCCGGATTCTGTCCCGGTTGCCCCTCTTCCAGGCCAGCTCTCTGCTGTGGCCAGGGAGTGCAGTGGAGGATGACCCAAGTGCTTGGGCCCTGCACCCCATGGGAGACCAGGAGAAGTACCTGGCTCCTGCCATCGGATCAGCGCGGTGCGCCAGCTGCAGCGCGCCGGCCACGGTGGCCATTGGAGGGTGAACCAACGGCAAAGGAAGACCTTTCTCTCTGTCTCTCTCTCTCACTGTCCACTCTGCCTGTCAAAAAAAAAAAAAAAAAAGAAAATATTAGAATGTAGTTACTTATATAATTCTTAGCTATCACTGTAAAACCAGTTAAATCTTATTTACTGCAAAATAAACATTATAGCAGACCAAAAAAAGAGACATACACTACAGAGTAGAACCACTAAAAGAACAATATATCCAGCCGGCACTGCGGTTCACTAGGCTAATCCTCCGCCTTGCGGCGCCGGCACACCGGGTTCTAGTCCTGGTTGGGGCGCTGGATTCTGTCCCGGTTGCCCCTCTTCCAGGCCAGCTCTCTGCTGTGGCCACGGAGTACAGTGGAGAATGGCCCAAGTGTTTGGGCCCTGCACCCCATGGGAGACCAGGATAAGTACCTGGCTCCTGCCATCGGATCAGCGCGGTGCGCCGGCTGCAGCGGCGGCCATTGGAGGGTAAACCAACGGCAAGGGAAGACCTTTCTCTCTGTCTGTCTCTCTCTCACTGTCCACTCTGCCTGTCAAAAAAAAAAAAAAAAATATATATATATATATATATATAGCCGTGCAGAAGCACAAGTTTGCTGATGGCACAATGGTCTTGTCTCAAAAACTGACAAAGCTAGAGAGACAATTTGGAAGCCATGATATGGTCTTCAAACATGTCTTTGAGTTCAATTATCATCATAATTGCACATCACCTCAGATAAATGGAAAGCTTCTGTTAAC